TGAATTAAAGGAGTAGTTTCACATTTTGGGAAATAATATTTAAAAACTGTAAAAGGGCTACAACAGCATTGCAGTATGGACGTACAAAAGAAAAAGCATGGTGTGCTAATAAGGGAGCTTTGTACTAATGCGCTGATTGTACTGATTGGAATGCAGATGAACTGGTTGGACATGTTGATTAATGTTAGCTTGGGGCAAATACTTTAGTGTCAGCACTCAGAGCAGGTTCCAGGCATTTCTGTCCTCCTGCTACATCTAGAAGGAAAGAAAACAGAAATGTTTTCTGTGCAGAATGACACAGTTAAAATGACAGAAGTTATTAAAAAAAAGAAAAAAAATGTTGAATTTCTTTGATTATTTTCCAAAATTGAAAAAAACTAAAAAAATAAACAAGTGCCCACACTACTGGAAAAGAATGTTATCCCTAAACACTATAGATATTTTACCACTGAGATGTTTTAGGTTTGTTCCCATGCTCCTTTCTGCTCCGTGTAAACACAACCTGCACTTCAGCTCAGTTCAGCTAAAAAACTCCCTGAATTTTTGTCACATCACTGCACTTGAATCAATGAGGGCTTCATGTTTATGCTGATCAACACTGAATTATTGTTTTTTGTTTTTTTTCAGGGTCTAGTTAGAGCAATTTATTTATTTGGCCTTTTTGCCTTTATTATATAGGACAGTTGAGAGACAGACAGGAAAGTGGGGGAGAAGAAATTGCAGCAAAGGGCCATGAGTGGGATTCGAACCCATGACCGCTGCATTGGGGACTGTAGCCCCTGTCCATGGGTTGCCAGCTCAACCAGTAGGGCTATAGCAACAACCCAGATAATTTATTTTTGATGCATTTTTTAATGAGACATGTAGGATAAAGTGATTTTGATGAAATCACGGTCAAGATTCTTTCTGTTTTTACAGTTTCTAGCTAATAAAGGGTGTAATTTTCTCAATATTTTTTTAAAGACAACATGCCTTTTAAATCCGTTAACCAGCTTTGAGGTTCAGACGTTGCTACAATAGTGCATTTTGAATAACATTTCTAAGTGGCTAATTTAACACTTCCGATGAATGTTATTGTTTTGATGTAGCATTTTCTCTCTCCCCCTCAGGTTCTACAAAGGTACTGTGCCTCGACTGGGTCGAGTGTGTATGGACGTGGCGATAGTCTTCATCATCTATGAGGAGGTCGTGAAGGTCTTGAACATTGTTTGGAAGACGGACTGAAGCGGCCCCTCGGTGCTATTCGAGTAGGAGCGTTGGGACGGGCCATCCTCTTTGTTAACGAGGTCACGTCTGAAACCAATCTCCTTAAATCCTGCTTCTCGGTTCTAATATCTACCTCCAAGTGATTTATCAGAAAGACAGATAGGGATTGGTGTATTCTTGATTTTATTTATAGGACAGCAATTACAAGCAGAAGCATTATCTGCATGAAAAAAGCTCCGGGTTGCAGAATCGCTGCTTACTCTTGCCCTTTTTCCTTTGAAGAGAGATGGGCGAAGTTCTGTCAGTGCTCAGGGAATGGGCATTTATTTAGACCTGCTCGACAAGAGAAATGGGAGCACTGTCAGCACAAACTAATGCTGTATGTACCTAATCAAAGAGAAACCAATGCCCTAACCCAACATAATGTGATTTAGAAAGTATAGTCAAAGAAATTCTACTTGAAAAAGACAAATTATACCAGAAATCAAACATTTTAAAACTCTTCTTAAATGCAAATATTCAGAGAGATTACACACCGTTATTTCATGTGCTACCTGATGAAATAATGAACCTTCACATGCTGCAGCGGCTACAGGTAGCTTAAATGCCTTAAATTAAGATTGTCAAAATTGTACATCCATAAAAATGCAGTTGGTGTGAAAGAAGGTTCACTTTTGGTTGCAGATTGTTTTAAATTACCTTTGGAGAGTGATGTCATAAAAAGTGCCTATCTGTTGTTGTGATTCATTTTGATCTTTTGAGATTAAGAATGATTGAATGTTAGTCACTACAGGTTGTAATGATACACTCAGTTGCACACTCACTTCCAGATTTTTATTCCAGGCGGTATTTCTGAAAGACTCATATCTTCTCAGATCAACTGTAACTTTTTATTTGCTTCTAACTTTTAAACTGCCTTTGCTGCGTGGACGCACCATTTGGGGGAAACACCGTTAACAGTGCCTTCCATCTCATTCCATGGAGGTCGAGTGGATTTGCTTTTATTGCAGATTGTGTTTTTTTAATTTTAAACTGTCAGATTAATTTCCTTTACTTTTTATGTCAACTGACAACCCAATGTGCCAACTGCTGCTCTTAAATACATATAATGCCATGTCATAGACTGGAGTTTGTAGCTTGCGAAGCTGGCATGTTTACATGCAGTGCAATTAATTGTTTTGCTTAACACACAATGTTTGTGTAGGACACACGATGTTTACGGTGAGTTGCCTTTTTCAGCTTCATGTTTAACCTCACCTTGCAGACATGCCACAGCTATTTAAATGTGTTGAAGTTTTCATATTAACAGATGACAATTCCCTCAGTAGTCAAAACCATATATTGTGCCTTCAGTCTAATTAATTCCAATATGTATGCTCATAAATAAACATGGATCAGACTGTTCATGTTGTCGTGCTCATTTCAGCTGTTACTCTGATCTTTACTCCAGTAATTTGAGTATTTCCACTTTTTCTGAAACACATTTAAGAGAGAAACAGTCTTCTGTTTAACCTTATTTTTCAGACAGCTTCTCTTTTGATGAGTAAACACAAAAGCAAATGGTTACACGTGAGTAAAGGATAACCCAAAAGCTGTCGACAAATACAACAAGGAAACATCCTGGGACCACTCGAGAAGTTTTTTCCACATTACGCCCATGTGAAGAGTTTTCATATTAACAGATGAACATTTCCCAGTAATACAACTCTATATTGTGCCTTCAGTCTAAATAATTCCAATATGTATGCTTACAAAAAAACAGATCAGACTTTTAACTGTCACATTCACTTCAGCTGTCATCCTGCTCTTTACTCGAGTATTTTACTTTAATTTTCCCATTTTTTCTGTGACTGTACTACATGTCAAAGATATATTGTAGTTTTTAACGGCAGTACATTTATCTGACAGTTGTAGCAACTTTTAGTGTTTAGATTTGATTGTAAAAACTTGTGGTTAGCACTGTTGCCTCACAGCTAGAAGGTCCTGAGTTCGATTCCCGGCCTGGGATCTTTCTGTGTGGAGTTTACATGTTCTTGTCGTGCAGCGTGGGTTCTCTCTGGGTTCTCCGGCTTCCTCCCACAGTCCAAAGACATGTTGAGGTTAATTGGTGATTCTAAATTGTCTGTAGGCGTGAATGTAAGTGTGCTTGGTTGTCTGTCTCTATGTGATAGACTGGTGACCTGTCCACAGTGAACCTTGTCTTCACCCTAAGTCAGCTGGGTTATACTTCAGCCCCATTCCCATTTTTTCAGCAATTACACCAGATTTCAGATAAAAAATATTGTTCTTTTTTTTTTACTGCTCTATATTTATTCAACAGTTTTTAGATTTAACATTACAAAATGTTATAAACTAATAAAATTCAATGCAATATGCATCTTGATACAGGGTTCAGACCTCTAAGTTGTTAGCAGCTGCACCAAACACACATTTGTGTGAGAGGTGAGAGGGTTTTGTTTAGTGACTTCCCACTGTCGCTGACTGCTTGCTAATAGTGAATCTAAAGGCAACTTTGGATTGTTGGGTTATCTGTTCTTTGTTTAAAATTCTTAAGGTCTTCACCTTACTACATGAAGTGCCATGAGATGTGAACTGGCACTATATAAGTAAGACAAAATAAAATTGAATTGAATAATTTTGTTGCTATTACATAAAATGGCGAGATTATACTGCAACAATACAGACCTGACAACATATATCACACCATATGAAATTAAATAATAAAAAACCTGAGGCACTATAGATAATATTAACTTCATTATAAATCATTTTATTCTGTAAAGTGTTGAAGATAATCTAAAACTGATATACTTTAAGTGCAAGAGGTCTGCTATTCCAATTAAATACATTTAGGCCTTCTATTAAATACCTTAGGTATTTAGTAGCAGGCATAGGCAATACCGAAATATGAAAAATGAGTTATTAAAGACTAGAGCTGCAATGATTAATTGACTAGTTGTCAGTTATTAATTGCCAACTATTTTGAAAATCAAATTATCACTTTGAGCAAATTTTAAAAAAAAAAAAAAAAAAATCTGTGATTCAAGCTTCTTAATGTGAATATTTTCTTGTGTCTTTCCTCCTCTGCAATTTGTCATATTTGGCCTCTGAAAACACTCATCAATATTTTCACTTCTTTGGGGGGCAAACAATAATCGACTAATCAACAGCTGCATTGACAGTTAAAATAATTGTGAGTTGAAGCCCTGCTACAGACATGCAACAACAACAACAAAAAATGTGCCCAAAGTAAATCTACATGTTGCAACAATAAACACAAACAGCAGTCATACTGATTAGAAATACATATTTTTTAAAAAGTTCATCAATAGTAAATTTGTGCATTAGGACTTTTTTCTTCTTTCCTAATTTGACACAACTTGAAATATTATCTCATTTTAAACTAAAAATAATTCAGCTCTTAACATTTGTTTTGAAAAAAGGCTATAAGGAAGAGGATGGATGTCGCCCTTACATTTGTATTTTACTTCTATAGTGTAATTATTAAGACTATGTGAGTAGGCACACATTACACCAGTTTTAAAGTCTCTGCACCTGCTATCTGTCTGCTATAGAATTGAATTCAAGAGTTTTTATTGGTTTGTTAATCTCTTGAAGGGCTTGGTCCTCGGATTTTGCATTGATAACGCAGACAGTATGCTGGTATACAGTCATGACCTTGCTTCGCGCTTTTTAGGACCTTGCGGCTGCCGTAGTTGTCAGTGTAGCTAACAGTCGGGACGAATGAAAGAAGATGCTTGTGTTTGTGTAGCGCTGAAAAGGCGTCGGTAAACATGTCTCTCAATGGAGGAGGGAGCAGAGGGTTTTACTTCAACACCGTCTTGTCCTTGGCTCGGTCACTGGCAGCTCACCGACAGGCTCCGATAGAAAAGGTAACCGTATATCTAGCTAGCAGCGCCAAGCTAATACCTGTTAAGAGTGTTTGACAGTAAGGCCCGTCCTGTACTTCTCTACCGGTTGTTTAATGTCATGAATCAGAAAAGGCAGTAAACACGACTTCACTTTGAATGAATTGTATGACTCAGACATTTAAAGGTGTGACCCAGCAGCACCAGTAACTGACTTTAAAGCTAGCTATCGTGGGCTAACGTTAGCTGTTTTTAGCCGTTCGTTAATCTTCCCTGAAATGGAAGCAGTCTGCCATTCCTTCCCAAATTATTACGACTTCCTCTTGGAATTATTATGTTTTTTACTTTTTATTCACACACGGAGGCACAAGAAACTGAATAAACATCCTTCATTCTGTACTTATTTTGATGCCTAGTAAGGGCTCACCCAATCACAATGATTAAAAATGCTGTTATTGTACAGTAATTGAATTACTTCTAAGTTGAACAGAACAGTGTTTGTTTTGATGTAGAATTTAAAAAACAACAATTTAGATTTACTTAGATTTATTTAGTCAAAATACAGGCTGCACGGTGGAAACTGAGATTCAAATCTGTCATTTCTTCAATACTTGTAATGTCCAGCTTTATGTGTGATGACAGAATCAATCCTCCTCGTCCTGGAGGTTACCACATGTATGGAGAGATGTCATTGTTCAGAGGCGTTTTTCTTTTTTAGCTGCTCTTTGCTCGAAGGGTAGTGTTGCTCTACTTTTCTCTTTAAAACACCCCAAAGTTGTTCTATAGCAGTGTAGCAGTACACGCTGTTGTTCTGTGTAAACATTATAAAGCTGTGGTGCTGTTTGCATGACCCATGATGGGATCTTGGGGAGTTCCCTCCATAGCAGGTTAATCTGATCATGACAAGGAGGCAGTGTACATTTCACATTATCTGTATAATTCAGACAGACAAGTGAAAATGTAGAACTAAGCAGAGTTCAAGTGTTGCCTGTGTAAGACCAGCAGCATGCACAGGCAGTACTTGGTGCCAAACAAGGCCTGACTGTAACTTAAGTTGTTGGGATAATGCTACGACTCCGTGTTATTCGGCTTGTGAGGATTTGTGGCCGAGGTTTAAGCCCCAGGGCAGCTTCAGGAGGAAAACTTTAGAAAGCAGAAGTTGAACTGATTAAAAACAAGCAGTCACTGAACTTCAAAATGGGGAAATATTCAAAGGGAAGGGCATCCTATGATGAAAGAGCTGTGCTAGCAATAGTACAACGCCTTGTCAGCCCATTGTGTTTTTGTGTATAGCGATTTGTGAAACTTGTGAGATGAATGATCGTTGTAGTTTGGTGTGTTTCAGCTGTTTTCTTATTACGTTAAAACTACATGTGAGGCTGCAAGAAGTGTCCAATTGGCTGTAATTCTTAGTGTAACAGTTCAGGCACTCAAATCATGCATACTGTCAATAGAAAAAGAGCTATTTACTGACAAATTTGAAATAAACAAAATACAAATGCCCATTAAGACACCTGCAACAACTACATTAATTACAAAAATAATATACATACTAAAAATATTCACAATAATATAATGATGTATGCCGTAATTCATCACATGAACCATTAAAGGCAACAATGTGGTTTTAGAAATGGACAAAGTAACATTTTCTTTACTCACTCTGACAACACTGAGCACTCAGTGAGAGTGTTTGAATAACCTTTATTGGACTTGTCAGTGGACAAAGTGAGCATGAGTTCAGTGCTTCAGTTCAGTGTGAGCAGAGCCCTCTCAGTTTCTGGCTCAGGTAAAACATGTAGTGTGAGTTACCAAATCATACAAGATTTATAACAATCACACTGTGTTTGCAGATTTAAAGGCCATTCCTGCGAGCACACGTCAACAACTGAGGCATAGTCGAAGCGTTTCAAGTGGAACTTGCGATTATTGTAGCCATATCGGTCACAAGATTGCTCATGGCCCTTTAAAAAATATATATTTTACTAACTTGGCTTTTTAATTTTTTTATCATTTTGAATTGAAGTTTCTTATCTGTGCATCTATTCATCTTTACTTTTGCTCTGCTATATTGTATACGAGGCCTCCATCTCATCATATTTGTTTAAAGGTTGTTTGCTTATTTTACCTGATCAGGACTTAAAACCACCAAATACATATTTATACATCAAATCTGACATAGCAGCAAATTTTCACATATGAGCAGCTGGCATCAGCAAATGTGTGGTATTTTTTTTTTCTATCTCCAGGCTGTGGAAGGAATTTACTCAGATTTTTCATAATATTCTTTCACACAACCATCATGCTGGAGGATGTGTGGTGAGAAAAATGCAGATCACACTCATGTTTTCTGGGACTTTCTGAAAGTGCGAAAATATTGACTGGGATGTTGTATTGGCAGAGATAACGCTGATATTTGACTATGAATTAACTAAGACAAGGATGAAGCTATATTTAGTTTTGGTGTAGGAAAATGTACAACATAAGGGCTGAAATATTTTGTTAAAATTCAAGTGTGCTTCTACTCTGAGGTATGACATGGTAAGACTCAAATGTTCTATGAATTCCGCTATCAACATTTAATAAAAAGTGGGGAGCAAAACATTGAAATACACTTTTTAAACAATACTACACAGCTGTTTTTATCGTTGTATCAGTGTGTTTTGTAAGTCTGACAGTCGTTTTTGTGTTTGTTCAGTAACAACAATTGAAAAGAATCAACTTAAACAATAGAAACCCAGCGTTCTGCTTCAGCACACACTGTACGACAAACCTCCTTCTGTTGTACTTTGTTGGCTTCAAATCCATTAGTTTAATTCGTACAAACCTTTTCTTTAAAATGTTTCCAAAAGTCAGTTTTTAATGAGAGGATTAGATTGTGTCTTTTTGCACAGCAGGTTGATTTTTGGCATTAAATCCCAAATCCCCTCTTTTTTGCTTTTTATTGCGGTTTTGGCACAGAAAAATGTAAGAGCTGAGGTGATGTTTAGCGTTTGGAATCAAATCTTAGTATTTTTCTGGGTCATATGTGACCAGAGGACCTATGAAAATCCCCTCTGTGCTCCCTTATCCTTCAACAAGATCCTCTGCATGTAGTCATAGAAAAAACATGTAGGAACTCAGTGTTTAAATGGTTAAGCAGTTAATCCCTCTCTGAGCTTAAGTCTGGCCCTTTCCTATGAAGCTAATTAAAGCTAGAGGCAGATTTTTGGCTTGATTCCTGTAGCCCATTTTTCCTGACAAAATCATTACCACTAATGGAACTAAACAGCATCTATTTAATCCCTCTTGGCAGGGAAACTCTTTGAAAAAAGATCATCCCATCCAAATAGATTATGTAAGTCAGGAGACAGTAAAGATTATGTTTACAGCTCATCTTAATCAACCTGCAGGTCCAGAAGCTACAATGTATGTGCCCTGTGGACTTCAGAGGAGTCTTTCAGCTGGACGAGAGGAGGAGAGATGCTGTAATCGCTCTGGGTATTTTTCTAGTAGAGTCGAACCTGCAGGTAAATTAACCACTGTAACCCTCCACTTCATGGTATTTTTGTGCTAATTTAAAGTTGTTGTTTGCTAAAGCTAACCTTCTATGAAATATTTGCTTACTGTTGCAGCACAAAGATGCTATTGTCCCGTACCTTCTTGGGCTGCTTAAAGGACTTCCTAAAGTTCAATGGATTGAAGAAAGCTCAGAGCGCAAAGGAAGAGGTGTGTAGCAGTTTATCATTTTTACTCATGTAATTACTGCTTTCTGATTGCTTCAGTATTGTGCTCTTATCGTATTTAATAATCTTATTTATGGTGCTTTTTGGTACCATTTCCAGAAACCCTTCCGGTTGCAGAGAACTTCAGCTTTTGTCTTGTAACGTTACTCTCAGACGTTGCCCAGCGTGATGAGACCTCACGAGGACAGGTTTGTAGTTTTAAAAGAACTTCTGCTTGCTATAATGATGTCTGTGAAGACTGTTTCTAACGCTGGACAGTCTAATTACTCCTTACAACTGTGAGGATGCTTTAGATCAGACGATGTGTTCACATTAAATAGTTCTAATAAACTATGTTATCAGATCCTGGAGGCGATCATGGACATCATGCAGGTCCTGCAAGATATCTGCAAAAATCCGGAGGAGCATGATAAAGGTCCTAACATAACACACCTCTTGCTTCTCTGATATGTTGCTTAGTCATCCCAGTTATTAGTATTATCTTCTTTGTGTGCTTCCTATACAGACTACCTGTGCAGGTACACCGTTCCCACCCTGCTCGGCGTTGCCAGAGCATTTGGTCGATACAGCAACACTGATGAGCCGTTACTGTCCAAGCTGTTTCCGCGGCCAGTTGCTCCTGTGCCGCCTTCAAGCGACGATGGCGATGCCGCCCGCCGACGATCCTTCAATGACTTTCGCTCCATCCTGCCGAGCTCTTTGCTCACAGTGTGTCAGGGAGACACGCTGAAACGTAAAGGCTCCTCCGTGTCCAGCGTGTCACAGCAGGTAATAACAACTTGGAGGTTACGCAGGCGAAATGACAAACCCAATAACCTAGCTGAAAGTGAGGATCCCTTTATTGTCACTGCTTTTATTTGTTTTCAGGCCAGTCCAGAGAGAGCAGGTCTGACACCCAGCTCCCCTGCTGATCCATCCGCACAGTACTTTGAAGGTGAGTGCCTCAACAGATGAAGAGGGGCCAGCTGCATTTCAGAAAATATCAGTGTCTCAACAGATATTCTGTTGGCTTTTGGGAGGATTTTACACACATTCACCTCCAGTTTTGACAGTTTGACCGTAAGAAAACAGACAGAAAATGTCCAGAAGCTTCACATTGCCCGTCTGCTCCTCAGGCTCGTACCTCCCGGATGGCAGTGCAGTGGACCCGGACTACTACTTCTCCACCATCAGCTCCAGCTTCTCTGTCTCGCCTCTTTTCACTGGAAGCAGCTCTGGAGAGTTTCACGTTCCTCTGGATATGCTCAGACAGCTCCTTCACATGGTCGGCATAGCCACACTAATACACACATGCAGTTGTCTTTGCAGTTGTACAAAAAGTGAACATTGTATGACTTCTTTTTTCCTCTCTTGAACAGGTCGAGCAGCTTGTTTCTGAGTCGTTTTTGAAATCGCTTGATGACACCCTGGCAGAACTTGTAGAGGTATGACTTTCAAATCCATATAGAGGTTTGTTTTCTTTTTTTTCTTGCACCTCAGATTCATTGTTCCACTTCTGTTGCTTTCTCCACAGATGAATCCTGGTCTTCACCTCTACTACAAAACCTTCAGTGATCCTCTATATGTCGCCATATTTAAAATGCTGAGAGACACACTGTACAATCTGAAGGGTAGATGAAACTCTCACCTTATTTGTTGAAACCACTTCTTCTTCCTTGATTCGCCCTAATAAATAACATTGTGTTTTCCAACAGATCTTCAGACAGACTATGTGAAGGAGGTTCATGACTTTGTCCTGGAGCAGTTTAGTAGCAGCCAGTCAGAGCTGCAGAGAATCCTCCATGATGTAGAATACCTGCAGAGTGAACTGAGTCCACTGAAACTGCGCTGTCAGGCCAACGCTGCCTGTGTGGACCTCATGGTGTGGGCTGTCACTGAGGAGCAGGGTGAGGCGTCGTTTATGAGTCCAACAGTCAGTGAGTGGTCCAAATGTTCTTCACTGTAAAGCTGTTTTTTTTTTTCTTCACCAGGAGCTGAGAACCTTTGTACCAAGCTATCAGAGAAGCTGCAGTCAAAGACGTCCAGTAAAGTCATCATCGCCCACATGCCACTCCTCATCTGTTGCTTACAGGTAACAGTTCACCAGGCAGAATACAGGAGTTTTGGGATGATTTACCCCTGTTTCATCCCTCCCTGGTGTGGGATCTTGGGCTGAACTGTTGTATGAAGTATCTGTTTATGTGCATTGTGCAACTCAATTTCACAATCTGGTAGGATGTTCAAACATAGTCTGAGCCTGGTGTAAGTTTAACTGTTAACCCTCAAGTGTAGTCCATGAGGGCCATGCAGCAGGTCTGGGGAACAGAAATGATGAGGTCCCACAAAAACCCACATCATATTAAGTGATTCCAGAGCTGGGGGGCATGTTTTCAGGCAACTGTTACGTACTGTGTAGACCTTGGGAACATAGGACTGACTTAGTAGTCTAGTCTAGTGTTTCAGTCTTATTCCACATCCATTTTAATGCTAGGAAAAATCACATCAAGTACTTCACTTTAAAAATAGACTGTTTCCATGGCTGAGGTTTCAACCTGTCAGCACCACAGAGACACAGGTTCAGAGAGCACAATGATGCTGCTGCCTTTCTCAGAGGGATCAGTTGTAAAACTTTTGAAATTCAGTCCTGACTAATTATGCGTACTCACCAGTACTCTTGTGTCTTTGTGTTCAGGGTTTGGGTCGTCTGTGTGAGCGCTTTCCCGTGGTGGCCCACTCTGTCACGATGTCACTGAGAGACTTCTTGGTGGTGCCGTCTCCTGTGCTGGTGAAGCTGTACAAATATCACAGCCAGTGCACTCCAGGTAACAGCAGCACTCTGCAGCTCCGTCACTAGTTATTCAATCAGCTTCTGTCCACGTTAATGTTTCCTTACAAAATACTAATCTTTTAAAGGAGGCGGTGAGATAAAGATCCATGTGACCAACGAACATTCTCAGTCAACCCTGAGCACACATTCAAGCAAGAAAAGTCAACCGTCCATGTATGAACAGCTGCGGGACATCTCCATCGATAACATCTGCAGGTGAATTCGTGCACAAAATACAAAAACATTAGGCCCTGAGGCTTTCAGTTTTACAGTTTATCACAGAACCATGTAGACAAAAGGCTAATGTGATGATTAAATGCTGTCCTAATGTGAAGAGAGGCAGGCACATGTTGCTAAAAAGGTGAATAATATTATCATTTATATTATTTCAGACTTATGTTAACTGCAAAACTTTAAGTAAGCCCTCAATCAACCCCTTTTTGCTAAATGCCTATTTTTGTGAGTATTTTGAGTTAATATTGTTTGTCCTTGTAGCTGCTAAATATACTCAAAAAGCCCAAATCTCAAAAATATAATGTACTAAAAATGAATTTTAAATGTTTTTAAAAGAAAAAACAATCATTTAGATAATCAACTAATTTGTAAAATAGTCAATAGCTTAAACCACCAAACCCTAAAACCTGCCAGTGGGTTTAAAAGTCATCATTTATCCTAAATGACACCATTTTTCAGCCAGAAACAGTAAAACAGAAAGAATATTGCCAGTGATCTTTGAACAAATTGTGTGAGACATGCCTTTCTGTTGAGAAAATTAACCACATCTATGCTTAATATTGTGATTTTTTTATGAAGAGAAAAGTGATTTAAAAAAAATAGCAAAGAATATACTATTTTCACCAGATTCTGTACACTGACAAGCCCTGACTGTGTCAGCTCAGACCAAAAGTCACACACACACAGTAAAAGAGGTACTTTTTGGTGGAACTGCAGCCTGTGTTTTCATATATATATATATCTGCAGCGTGGCTCAAAAAGTGAATACAGAGGAACAAGCTGTCAGCAAATTGTGGGAAGATAAATTCATGGTGAAGTATCTTTCTAGAGATGATGTGCGGGGGTTGTAAAAATATACATTACATCTGTGGGGGCTTGGAAAAATGTTATTTATGTCAATTTCATTTAAAAAAGGGTGAAATAAATATTCAAAGAAATTCAACGTTTTTTTTTTAATGATATATGTCTTTATAACGGTCAACAAGACATATTTGGGTTCTTTCTACTTCTAGCCATGTGCAGGAATTTATATTGCAGTGAAAATGGGTTAATGTTGACATACAGTAAGCTACTGTTAGCCCTCAAAGACCAGTGAAAATGATCACTTCTGCTGTCATATACAATCCTGAAGAAGTCCAAAAATAGTTGCTATTCTGACATGAATGAAGATAAATCAGAAATGGAAAACATGCAGGCCTATGTTACCAGTTGTCCTAATAAGCCCCAGCAAACAGCAGCCTGTTGATGAAGCTAATTGCTGTTTTTTTTATTGTTTATTCAGTTTATTCCAACATGTCAACACAGCTCTAACTCCCTGTCTGGCCATCTGCCCTCAGGTGCCTGAAAGCCGGCCTCACTATGGATAATGTCATTGTGGAAGCTTTTCTTGCCAGTTTGTCTAATCGTCTCTACATCTATCAGGAAAATGACAAGTAAGTCAAGCACAGAAATGGCCGTCCACTTTAAACTGGGAAAACAGGAGTGCTTAAATCTGATCTGCTCTCCTCTTCAGGGATGCTCACCTGATCCCAGACCACACCATCAGGGCTCTGGGTCACATTGCTGTGGCCTTACGTGACACTCCCAGAGTGATGGAGCCCATCCTGCAGATTCTGCAGCAGAAGTTCTGCCAGCCTCCCTCCCAGCTTGATGTCCTCATCATAGACCAGCTCGGCTGCATGGTCATCACAGGCAATGTGAGTGTTTGTATTTCAACTTTCTCAGTCTCTGTCCAGTCATAAGTGTTATACTTTGACACATTGACACTGACCTACTAGAGTTGCTAAGTTCTAATACTTTGCTGTAGTTTGGCAACATTTACACAGATGGTATGTGGAAACCTGAGGATCCATATACTGAGAATAGAGTTTTCAGAAGTAGGAAGAATTTGGTTTCAAGTATTTTTGAATAATAACAGTATTTAAATGTTCATGGATTGTGTTTTTTGTTGTTTTTTTTAATTGAGGGAGACAGAGGAGATGTTTTTGGTGGGGAAAAAAACAAAACAAAACATGTCAGACTCGAACTTTAACTCCAAACACAGAAGTGTGACTTTAAGACTTAGAGGTGAAGTCCAAGACAGTCATGTATTAACCCTGTTCAGGACTTTCATGTTCCATTGGACCCCAAGAAAGAATATGTGGAAAATGTTTGTTGGTATTCATTATAGACTTTTATACTACGTTAAAGAAATTTTCTAAGTTGACGTATTTTTGTTTCCAAATGCATGACAAATGTCCCTCTTTTTATATTTAAAAAACATCTTCAAAAATAAAAAAAACAATACCTGTCACCTAAACCAAATGGCCTGGGGTCCAAAAGTCCAGAATAGGGTTAATGTACATTTGCTAGAGGCAAGCCAAATGAGTTTACGTTGCTGATTAGGTCCATCAGCTCCAAAGTAAGTCTCGTTATATTTCAAAGTATACCACAATTGAAAATCTGGCTTTTAAGCACTGCAGTGACAGAGATACACAGATCATTTACACAAGCAAACGGTACCAATACAGCAAATAAAAACACTCCATTACAAGTTCAAATCTGGCTTCAACATCATACTCAAGTTAATACGTGTGTAAAATGTAATGAAAGTATTGCAGTAGGGTTACACCCTAACCCTGACTGATATATAGTTATATGTACGATCATTAGATTATTAGTCTGAGGGCTCTAAACATTATTAATGATAGAGGACAAAGGACCAGGTCTGCTACACAAATCTGTTTTCAGTTTTTTTTCTAAAATCTTAGATTTTTTTCCATTGCACTGACAACATTTCAGGGCTCCAGACTAATATTTCACTGTTTGCACTAATGTTGCCAAGTTTTCCAACCTTTGGGTAGCCCCAGCACATGATTTGATCGCCCAAAAAGTTTCTGCTCCAGATTAAAAAGAACTCTACTTTGAGAAGAAGAATTACAAACTTCAAAAGAAAGCAATTAACAATAAGGTACTAAAGGCGTGCACTGACCATGTTTGTTGTAATTGAAGGGCAGAAGAAAGAAGAAAGACAGAAGTTCTGCACTGCAGGTTTAAAACATGTTTAAAGCGGATCTTTAAAAGCTTCTCTTTTTCCTCCTCTTTAGCAATACATCTACCAGGAGGTGTGGAATTTGTTCCAGCAGATCAGCGTCAAGGCGAGCTCCATGGTTTACTCCACCAAAGACTACAAAGACCATGGATACAGGTGGGCACCACTTCAAAAGAGCAGATTCATAGTTTGTAAGACACTGTTCAGGTGCCTGTATAAATACTGAGCGGTTTTTGGCTGCTGTTAATGTTTTCCCTGTTCCCATTAGCCATATAGTTCTGTTTGAAAAAATCTACAGTTCTTGTGAAGTGCAAGTTTTCAGAAGTTTATTTTAAACTACTGTGAAGCTCCAGCCATCTGAGTGAGACAGATCAACAGATATTATCTCTTTCCTCCTTTTGTTTTCGTGTACAATTTTTCCTTTTGAGCTGCAGCAAGCAAAAACTGCTTCACTGTTTTTACGGAAACCTGATTGTGAGCATTTCAGTTTCAACTGTTAAACCTTCCGAACCCCAAGCAGATTTTGGATGTTTATTGCTCCGGTCACATCTTTCCTCACTGTTGGACTCATTTTTCACATATAAAGTCCTTCATCTCTATGGAAGCAGTACAACCCTGGCAAGAAGTAGAGAGAACTCAAATATGACTTCTGTGTAATAAGACAGTTATAATGCCATAAATTACACATTTACATTTCTTTCATTATTTATTGGACAAGAAAGGACAAAAACTTGAAATAAACATGTATTTTTCCAAATGCCCACAGATGTCAGTTGCTCTGAGTAGAGCACAGATTTATGTTGTTACTTAACGTGATCTGTTTTGTAAAAAAATGTTTATTTTTGGTGCATTTTGAAGTTAGGCATGCAAAATTAATGAATTCAGTAACTCCGATGAATGGTGTCAGATATGAATTATGAAGGTGTGGATGACAGCAGATCCCCTTGCACACCTCAAGACAGTCATCCAGCTTGTTTTCCCAGCACAGACAGCATATACATACATCTAGCCCCAAGTCAAGTCAGTTTTATTTGTATAGCGCAGTTTACAACATGTGCCATCTCACAGCGCTTAACATGATAATGTACAGACCTTACACATTCAGTGGTCCCAAATTTTGGGCTCCACATGGATATCAGCAGAAGGGTCCACACAGATGCTTGTAGACTTGTGGCCTCTAGTTAATGCATAAAGCGTGAATTGCTCTTTACTTAGTGTTTTTATGAGAATCTCCCTCCTCTTTGTGCAGACACTGTTCCCTGGCTGTGATAAATGCCCTGGGTAATATAGCAGCAAACCTTCAGGCTGAGCAGATGGTCGATGAGCTGCTGGTCAACCTGCTGGAGCTTTTTGTCCAGCTGGGCTTAGAAGGGAAGAGAGCCAGTGAGAGGGCCTCAGACAAAGGCCCAGCTTTAAAGGTATGGTACACACACACGCACAGTGCACGTAAATGCTAATAGGCCAGCAGTAAAGCCACAGGGAGGTGATGCAAAAAGTAGTCCTGCAAGAAGATGATCCTGGCTTAAAGTTCATGTGGAAATGCACTGTGTGAACGCACAGAAATAACTTCCACTTTATCAATGTTTTCAGCGATGCAACTACACGTGTGGTCTCCCACATTTTGGTTCATTTTTCTGAGGATTAAAATCAACATACCATCATCTTACATGACCTCTGAAAGCCTGCCTTTACATGGCAACAGGCAGGAGGAATTTGCTGAGGAATGTTGGGTAATGCTTCTGTTATTGGATAGCTTTAGTTCCACTTTTTCATATGCTTGACTGAGATTGAGGAAGCTGATTACAAACACAAACAATCAGACTCAGGTTGGGCTTTTGGGGGGATATAGTGCATGACAGTAATCATGACTGGTCTGCCCACAGTATAAGCAATGAGTCTATGTTACCGTTTTCGACAGAACTCTATGCATTTTCCTGTAACTTCTGATCATTTGATTAATGAAAATGTCTGTTATGCTGAATAAATGAAACAGGAATTAACAAAAATGGTCATTTTTATTCTTAATTCTTAACACTTTAGCTCTGGAGAGTTTCCTCTGGCTCTGTTTAAATCTCTTTGAGAGATGCCAAAAATTCCTCTTTGTCTAGATACCCCCTTTGCCTTTTCTTAGCTGGAGGATTTTATGTCTTTACTGCTTTTGGAAGAAATTAAATACATTTGAGAGGTTCAATTGTTCGCCAAATGACATTATTACAGAGCTGCTTCAGTTGTGCTTCACTCCTCTGTTTCTCCAGGCGTCTAGCAGTGCTGGAAACCTCGGTGTCCTAATTCCAGTCATTGCAGTGGTAAGTGATTTGAATATTTTCAGTTTTCATCACTGGCAGTTTATTTGCCTTTTAAATTAACTTGACTTAGTCATTGAAAATGCCTCCTAGTCTTAATCAGTGGAGGTCTTGCACACGTAGATCTTCCACAGGTTCACATCCACAGCATCTGAAACACATGATATCCTTTTTTAACTACAGTTAGCTACGTCGCTCAATAACCTCAGGGGTTTATTCTCTCTGCTCTTCATGTGCTGTTAGCTGACTAAGAGGTTGCCACCAATTAAAGAAGCAAAGCCACGTCTGCAGAAGCTCTTCAGGGACTTCTGGCTCTACTCCGTGGTCATGGGATTTGCTGTGGAGGGTTCAGGTAGGAAGAGTTTGCTCACTGATGTTTTGCACGACGTATTCATCTCTCAGTTTAAGCTTTTCTTTCACCTAAATCTTATTGAAAAGTCACTATAACACAATGAAAAGTTGAAAAAAACATTTGGGAACTTCTTTGAGTTGATTAGTGAATTTTCTCACCATCTCACTTTCCAGTCCTAGAAAATTTCAATTTTGTCAATTTGTCTCCCATCATGCTACTTACATTGTCAACACGTGTCAGGTTTTCCTGAGGAAGATTTCCAGCTGCTGCTTCTTTGTTTGCTATCTTCCCCTAATTTTTTGTAAAATCCTATTTCCCTTATTATTATTTATTCTGAAATCTCTGCAGCTTCCCTCTATACTATCTTTACAGCAATTACACAAAAACTGTGCCATACACCTCACACTGACCTTGTATCCTTGTATTTGTTATAGGAGTTTGTTTATGATTTACCAAAATACAGTTTTCAGACATTTCCAAGAATGTCTATGTAACTGTGAGTGAATTTTTTTTCTAGGAGGATGTATGTGAATCAGTGGATCTGTGGTTTATGGTCCACATGTAAAACCTGTTACATACTTTAATGCTTGAGAATGTTGGTGCTGAGGAAGTTCCCTTGTTTCTTATTTTCCTGTAAGAGTTTAGAAACTCTCAGGCATTCCTCCTTATCCCAAACGCCCCCATTTTTAAACATCTGACATCTTTGTTGCTGTCGAATTTTTCAGGTCTGTGGCCAGAAGAGTGGTACGAAGGAGTTTGTGAGATTGCGACCAAATCGCCGCTGCTCACATTTCCCAGCGGAGAACCTTTACGTTCAGAGCTGCAGTACAACTCTGCCCTGAAGAACGACACCGTCACCCCGGTATGAGAGCACACACATGCACAAACACATACATGCTGAACAGTAAACGTCCTGGCACTAGTTTATTATTCGTTCTTGAATTCCAGGCGGAGCTGAATGATCTGCGTAGCACCATCATCAACCTGCTTGATCCTCCTCCTGAGGTGGCTGCTCTCATCAACAAGCTGGACTTTGCCATGTCCACTTACTTGCTGTCTGTTTACAGACTGGAGTACATGAGGTATACCAACATGATATCTACCTAGTTTACACCAGCTTGATGTAGTTATTGTAAGTGTACAGTTAAATATTTCTGGTTTTCTATGTCTGTTAGGATGCTGCACTCTCTGGACTCTGACCGCTTTCAGGTCATGTTTCGATACTTTGAAGACAGAGCAATACAGAAGGATAAATCTGGTAAACACAACCAAAAAGAAAACATCACATTTTGTAAGAAAACAACATGTACTGTCGCTCAGTTATTACATGCATTAATATTTCATATATTTGGCAGGTATGATGCAGTGTGTAATTGCAGTTAGCGACAAGGTTTTTGAAGTCTTCCTGCAAATGATGGCAGAAAAAGTAAGTGAGATGCTTTAACATAAAGGTCCAATATGGTGTGAAATGATTTTTATTGTGTTAGTACAGGAAGATACTGAATACTGATATTCGCCATTATCAGCTTAGACTTTTGGAAGTTGTGTAGGCATTCTGCAATACTCTTGCACATGAATTGAAAATAATAATCTTTTGATTAAACATAAATGAAAACAACAAATATTTTCAGCCTAAAACCAAAGCCCACGAGGAGGAGCTGGAACGTCACGCTCAGTTCCTGCTGGTCAACTTCAACCACATCCACAAGAGGATCCGCAGAGTGGCTGACAAATATCTGTCTGGCTTGGCTGAGACGTGAGATCCATGTTCATTTACTCAGAACATATTCACAACACCTCACTGACTCTTTTGTGAAGTATTTAAAATGCAGCAGTGTCAACAGCTTCATCTGTTTCCTCAGTTTCCCCCACTTGCTGTGGAGCGGCCGTGTGCTGAAGACCATGTTGGACATCCTGCAGACGCTGTCACTCTCACTCAGTGCAGTAAGTGATCATCATGTGACATCGCTCTGTCAGTCTGTCTTCATAGCGATTACAATGGGCTTTGTATACATGACTTTTATAGTAATGTTTACGTTTTATTGCAGGACATTCATAAAGACCAGCCCTATTACGACATCCCAGATACACCATACAGAATCACTGTCCCTGATACGTATGAAGCCAGAGAGGTAAGGTTATTTATTCAAAAGTCATCATTTCTGTGTCATTAATTGCTCTCAATTTGCATGAGTAATCTATGAAATACATTGAAAAAATACATCTGATTACAGAGCATAGTAAAAGATTTTGCTGCACGATGTGGAGAGATCCTTAAAGAGGCAATGAAGTGGGCTCCATCTGTGACCAAATCCCACCTACAGGTAACATTTATTCAGCACAAAGCCTCAGCATGTTGAGCACATAAAGAGAAACATGTTTGTATTGTGGCATTGAACTTGATTTTAACCAGTGCACTTCATATATGGTCTTTTTCAGGAGTATCTGAACAAACATCAGAACTGGGTGTCGGGTCTCTCCCAGCACACAGGCTTGGCTATGGCCACAGAAAGCATCCTGCACTTCGCTGGTTACAACAGACAGAGCACCACGCTGGGGGTACGTTATATACATATGCTTCAGTGTTCAGTGTCTTGCCCAAGGACACTTTGACTGTGGAGGGGCGGGAGATCGAACCGCCAACCTTGCAACTGGAGGACAACCTGCTCTACCACCTGAGCCGCCATTCTAGCAATAAATTACAGTTAATATTCTGCTGTTTGGGTTCTTTGTTTTCCTTTAGTGTATCATATAACTAGACAGCGGCATTGTTAATATTTTAACTTAAATTTCCTCTTTTTCACTCTTTACTTTTCAATAAAAATACTTGTTGACAGTACTTTTACTGTGCAATATGAATACTAGTTAATTAAGAAAACAGGTACAGTAGTTCTTCTGCCACTGAGAGCGAGATCTCTGTTCTGGATTAGGAATAGGGAAAAATGCCATAGGCAAATTCGCAATGGAGTTGGTGAAACAAAATGTGCAGTATACCATTTATGTAGCAGTAGTAGATAGAAAATGTATTTTCTTAATTTTTCCAGTGCTGTAATAATGTATCCCCAGGGCCTGTTTAATACCTGGTTTCATTATTCACCCCTATATATCACTATCTTTTTGTGCGTCCAAAATGTCCTCAAACTTACAAAGCCCATCCATCTCCCACAGAACACCCTGCTCCTGTCAGTCTGTGTTTTAAATATTTTGCATTCTTTTTACATAATCAGTTGCAATTTATACACTTTTTTGACACTTGATATGTTCTCTGTTGCTTTCTTCCTTCAGTCCACTCAGTTGACTGAGAGGCCCGCTTGTGTGAAGAAGGACTACTCCAACTTCATGGCCTCCCTCAACCTCAGAAACAGATATGCTGGAGAGGTAAAGTCATATCAAATATAAAGACCTCAGCCCACCACATCCAGCTCTGTAGCTCTGTTACAACCTTCACTGACACATTCACAACTTAGTTGTTCTTATTTACTTTTTCTTTTCTGTTCTGCTATTTAAAAATTGTTATTTGGTCATGACTGATGAATATGACCTGTGAACCCAGGCTGCTGCCATGACCGAATCATTATTTCATGATTGTGACATAAATACAGACTAAGTGATATTATCAATTAAGGTGAGGGTCAGTATCTTCACAAAAATAAAGTGTGCATTATTGCAAAGTAAACTTAAATTGATATATATCTGATTACATTTTTCATTTTTTTCTTTAAAAGACCAGATGTTCTGGAGACTTGGTGCAACCAGAACACGATTTAGCCCAATCTTATGGACACAAACTCTGCTTAACCCTCTGAAGTCACAGCAGTGTCTGCAATATAAAGTCATGTGCCTTTAAAAAAAAACAGCTACAACTAGAGAGAGTTCAAAAAATTTTGAAAAAATGTGGAATTGACATGCTCCTCTGTATTCCATTTTTGAGCCAAGATCAAGTATCAAGTGATTTATTTTTCTCTCAGTCTCTTTTTTTTAATCTTCTCCATGTAAACACAGCCTGCAGTTCACTGGAAAACCTTCTGAATGTTTGCCACGTGACTGTTAGTTGCAGCTGAGTGAATTATGGCTTCTTCTCAGTTGTCACATATAAATGTTGAAAATCCTACAATTCTTTTTATTTTTATAGTTTCTGGCTTTTTTTTTTTTTTTTAAAGATAAATTGCTTTTCAAACCCACTGGCAGATTTTGGGGTTCAGAGGGTTAATAGCTTATATATTTTTTCAAACCATGTTTTCTGCTCATGCATTTTCTCTCGGTCCATAGGTATCAGGTATGATCCACTTCGCCCAGGCAGTTCGAGGACAGTCTGACCTGAACCGGCTGATGATCAAGCAGATGGGAGAGGCATTGGACTCTGCACAGCCTGAGGCTTTCACTGAGGCCATGTTCAAATTGGCTGCCTTGCTCATCAGCACCAAAGGTTGGACTTGTTATCTGTCTCTGTGTGTACCAAATGCATGACTGTGTGTTAAAATGCTGGGATTTTTGACTGCTGATTTTTGTTTTTGGTCTAGACTGCGATCCTCAGCTCCTGCACCACCTCTGCTGGTCTCCACTCAAGATGTTTACAGAGCATGGCATGGAGACTGCTATCGCTTGCTGGGAGTGGCTGCTGGCAGCACGTGTAGGCGTGGAAGTACCGGTACATACATATGTTTCATTGTTTTTTCTGTCCTTGTCTTTTCAGTAGTTTTGTTTAGTTCACACAATATCCGTCCCCCTTTCTGGCTGCATAGTTCATGCGAGAGATGGCAGGAGCGTGGCAGATGACAGTGGAGCTGAAGATGGGCTTGTTCTCGGACGCTCAGGTGGAGGCCGATCCTCTGGCTGCTTCGGAGGAAAGTCAGCCGATCCCCTGCCCTCCAAATGTCACCCCTCACCACATCTGGATCGAGGTCAGATGAAAGTCATGCTCCTTGTGTTTTCTTATCAATGTTTTGCTTTTCCACTTATTGCCTCATATTTTTCCCATTTGTTTTCTAGTTTCTAGTTCAGAGGTTTGAGATAGCGAAGTATTCCAGCGCAGATCAAGTGGAGATCTTTGGCAGTTTAATGCAGCGTTCACTGTCTCTGAATGTTGGTGGAGCTAAGAGCAGCCTCAACCGCCACGTAGCGGCCATCGGACCTCGATTCAGGTACATAACAAGTTTTGCAGAATATTAATGACATTTTTTTTTTAATTCTTCTAGTAAATCTGTCAGCATCTTTTGATGTCTGTTTGTTTTTTGTCTCCTGCAAAAAGGTGCCTAAATTAAAGAATGCAAAATTTTAAAAAACAGCATAAGTGAATCACTTTCTACAGAACTGTAGAGGTAGCAGTGTTTATAGCAAACATATTTCTTTGTGGGCTGCAAGGTGGCAGTGTGGGTTCTCCATCTTCCTCCCACAGTCCAAAAACATGTTGAGATTAATTGGTGATTCTAAATTGTTCGTAGGTGTGAATGTGAGTGTGCTTGTTTGTCTGTCTGTAAGTGTAGCCCTGTGATAGACTGGTGACCTGTCTCGGGTGTTCCCTGCCTTCGCAGCTGGGTTAGTCTCCAGTCCCCCACGACCCTAGTGAGGATTAAGCGGTGTATAGATAATGGATGGATATTTCTCTGTGCTCTAGGCTGCTGACTCTGGGTCTGGCTCTGCTCCACTCTGACGTCGTCACCAATGCAACTGTAAGAAATGTGCTGAGGGAGAAGATCTATTCTACAGCCTTTGATTACTTCAGGTACCTACACACAGACTCCTACATGCACTCGTTAGTTAGGGCCATAACAGTAATTTTTAGGGAACCAATCCATCGGTATATCTGCTCTTTTTTTTCTTAATTTTTTTTTTTAGTTCGACAATATAATTTTGACATACAGGGAAACGCCCACAGCAATCGCAGTGATGTCCAAAAAAAGTCCAAAAGCAAGTTTGAATTCACCTAAAAAATTTGTACCTTTGTTCTTAAAAGGTGCATGTATAAATACGGGTTATTTAGTTTTGTAATCAAGTTGCATATGCACCGTGCACAGTCACACTGTTAGCATGGCTAATAGAAAACTGATTGAAATGAGTGAAAAATAAATAACCTGAGTCTCTATTTTTTTGCCCTTCCAGTGTGGCTCCAAAGTTTCCCACCCAGGGTGACAAGCGTCTCCGCGAGGACATCAGCATCATGATCCGTTTCTACGCCAGCATCCTTTCTGACAAGAAGTACCTGGCAGCGTGCCACCTGGTCCCACCCGGTGAGCTTGGTACTACCCCAGCCCCGAGCACACTCTCTGCTGGGATATTTGGATCGCTTATCGTGTCCAGCACTTCTCCGATATCTATCTTAAGTAAGCCTAAAGCGGCGCAGCTCGGACTGCACTGCAGCAGGGGCATGCTTTTACGTGGGTCAAATTTGACGCTGCTTATCCTCACAGTGCTGCCTGGTATCTGCTATGATACAGATCCAGGTTTTTATATTTAATGACTTCCTTTGCTCTGAAACTTTCTAATTTTGGCTCCTCCTATTTTCTTATTACCTTTTCTGTTCCTCTTTCTCCTACTTTTTATTATCTTACTCGTTATACCGTTACAATCGGCCTGTTTTTTAATCTTTATTGTTTAGCAACTGTGAGGAAAAGCGCAAATTTGTGAGCCGCGTCAAGTGCATGATAATTCATCATGTCAGCCCACCCGTCTGCCCCTCTCCTCGACTGAACAATTTAAGAAGAAACCTCAAATTGAGAAATGGTTTTTCTTCCATCCCAGAAAATCCTCCTCCTCTTCATCCCCGATGACCCCGAGAAAAGACATGATCTCATTCTCATACACATCGAACCGCTTCAGGTAGTCCTCCAAGCGCAGATCCTGGATCAGATAAATCTGTTCACATCTGACACAGTATCAGTGGTTCGAGGCAGCTTCTGCCAACATTTTCGCTGGATTCCCCCGCTTTCAAATGCATGCCCATCATCAGAGGACACCGTTCATCTCGCTCTTCAGAAACGCCCTCATCATCGATCATATTGTTGATGTTTTTTTACTGTTTAGACTCAGGATCTTATAATGTGTTAGAAATTCTAAAGTTTATCTTTTTTGAGACAGATTGTACCAGTTGAATCAGATTTTTTTTTAAAAACCTGAGAGAAAATGAGGTTAAACTACTTTGCATGTCCTTGGCGATACTGAATATGTTTCTATGTGAACAGATAATCAGGACGCATCTTTGAATAGTCTGTCAGTGATGAATGCTGCTGACCTCAGGAGCAACATGGACTCCAGCGCTCGCTCCCAGCAGAGCGGCCAGGGATGGATCAACACCTACCCACTGTCGAGTGGCATGTCCACCGCATCCAAGAAATCAGGTAGCACGTACCTTTAATATTTGGACAAGAACAATACAGAGAACAAAGGCCAGAGTAAGTTGAACTCCAGCAATTTAAACTCAGGACACTCAGACTTACATACATTCTGCTGATTATATCATCATTTTTAACTCAAAGCTCTGCTTAGCTAGATTTCTTCAGCACAATCAAATCCTACACTTGTTATCCTCACTATAGTCTGTGTTGTAGAATTGAAACAATTATTTGACTATGGATGCTACTAAAGAGTATTTTTCAATTGAAGAACTCCTAGCAGTTTCTGGGTGTTTTTTTTCTTTTTCTGTCATTTCTTCATTCACTTTTCTTTATTTTGTCTTTTTTTTTTTTTAAATTACAATACGAAGTCCTGCACCTCTGTGGAATTGGAGTTTTGGAGTTCAGATGGTTAATCTAAGTTTATCCAAAATATTTATTTTTCCAAAAAAAACAAAAAAAAAAAATAAATTAATTTTATTTTTGAGCTTTAAGCTTTGTGAGTATACTGTGTGTTAATTTATTTTTTCAGACACGAATACAAATGAGAAATGTCTTAAGACTTATAGACTTTTTTTTTTTTTTCTAGGCACATCCAAGAAGAGTAACAGAGGGACGCAGCTTCACAAATACTATATGAAGCGCAGGAACCTGCTGCTGGCACTGCTGGTGAGAATGGCTTTAACCCTACATGGGATGACTGCTCCTCATCAACCATTCTTTATGCTCTGACTCTGCCTCTTCTCCTGTTTTTTCCAGGCCAGTGAGATTGAACGGCTGACGACGTGGTACAACCCGCTCTCCACTCAGGAACTGGCCATCGCCACAGAGCAGTCAGTGGAGACCAGCATCGCCAACTGGAGGTCCAAGTACATCAGTCTGACTGAGAAACAGTGGAAGGACAACGTCAATCTGGCCTGGAGTATCGCACCATACCTGGCCATGCAGCTACCAACGAGGTGGACACTCATTTTCTTTCTTCCTTTCAAAGCTCCGATTTGTTAATCTGACGTCAGCCAAACATGTTGACTTCATGTTTAAGTGAATTTTTTTTAAGGAATAGTAATTTCTATTTCATTTCTTGTTTTCCAGGTTTAAGAATGATGCCATTGTGGCTGAAGTGACCCGACTGGTCAGACTGGACCCTGGAGCGGTCAGTGACGTACCTGAAGCTGTCAAGGTGAGGTTGTTTTTCATTTATTCAACCTTTACTGAAATCTTAAGGGATTTTAAAGAGCATGCCTTGATTGTCAGTGATGTTGATAGAACAAAAAAATATATATATCAGGCAATAGTCAACGAAAAACAAACAGAACACTGTTAAAAACCACTAGACTGCTCAAGATGGCCAGACAGCTTTTTCATACAATAGGCAGTGATGAGAACAGTAACTGTCAAAGGTAAAGAATCTTAGAACAGAGTCAAACTGAGTCAAAGGCTTTCAGAGTGGAGGTAGTGGCCATAATCTAAAACAGACAAGATGGCGGCTTCAGTCATTGTCTTTCAACTGAACATAACAAAACTTCATGTCATAGGTTGCCAATAGGTGACATTTTTTTAAAATCCAAATAGATATTAAGATATTTGTTTCCAGGACCCTCTCACTACTCTTGTCTAGTGAATTTGGTGATGTACATACTGTCAGCCACAATATCTCTGGCTCTACAATAGAGCATATGATTGGTCTTGTCAGTATTTTGGCAACTGACTGTAGTGTTAGAAAATCTTTCCATCCATTACC